AATCCCACTTGACCAGACCCGGGATCGAACCCAGGCCGCCGGGGTGGGAAGCCAGCGACTAACCGCTTGAGCTATGGCGTAGCCTGAACTTAAACATATGTCCGGTATGTTTCATTACAGACCCCCCGGTACCAAAATTAACTGAGATCTGTTCAGTAGTTCGCGTACTGAAAAATACAAACACACGGCACCCATTATGCTATAACATTTTATTCACTTTACACAAATCATGCATAAAAAAAAGACAGAGTTACGTTGGAATTCTGAATAGAAACTATGCCATGAAGGCGTATGGAGGGCGTCATGTTAACGCTCACTCTTGACCTCTGCAATTGGATACATGTGAGTGATCAGGTTCGCGCTGTACTCATTTCACCATCTGGTATTCATTCGACAGGCAATTGTCATAGCACTGAACAGGAAGGTCCCACTGTTCTTGCCGTGAGTCGAACCTGGAACGTCCAGACAAACAGAATTTATTGGCAGCAATAACACGGCTCATCTCATAATTCCGTACAGAGGTTAGCTTATCACTGCTAAATGTGTTTCATCAATTTCCGTTCACGGGTTAAGGACACGAAACGCGAGTTTATGTTACGCACAGAAACGAAACTTGAAGGCGGGAGGATAAATATTGCCGCAGGAACGCGTAAGATTTTGCTCAAATTTTAACACAGAACCACGTACCTTTGCAGGGCCAATTTGCATACAAATAGAGGCATTTATGTAGATGTTGCGGAGGAGGGGGGTGCTATATATCGTGGCCACGTGGTGTGGAGGGCCTCCCTGCAGCGCACCGATGCCGCTTTATCCCTCTGTAGCTGCAACGACGGGTTGCTCATTTCGTGTGGCGAGGCGAAACAAAATGCAACAAATTTATATGCGAGCTGAGACAGCCACTGCCTAGCGAAAATAAAACTGACTGATTTAGACAATCAGCACACTAAACGGACTGAATGTGTAACTAAACAGATATCTATCTCAACCTTGAGAGACCGCGGCCCGGTAAAATTGATGCCACGGCCCGGCGGTTGAGAAACACTGATCTTAAGGAGTTCTACCCTCTGGGCAGTAACACCGTACAATTACACAGAATTACTGGGGTTTTGGATATTTTTCATCGTCAGAACCCTTTAGAATCTACCGTATAATTAGTTGAAAGTCAACAGACGTTTCGGAGTAAAATGTCGCCTTCACCTTCACGGCTGAAGGGTAAGCCCAGAAAGAAACCAGCATGAAGCAGGGATGAAGCGCCTTAGGATCATATTCGGGTAAAAATGTAGCTGTCCCTGTGCTTAACTAATTAAATACTAAGCCATGAAGATGTATGGGGGAATTAATGTATAGAGCCATGTATTCTTCACGTCGGCACTAGTTGAATGTGAGTGTGGAGCTCAACGTACCGGCCGCTTTACCCCCCGGTACACATTGGAAGGTAGGCTGGGTGGGCCCCTGAACCGGTTTAGACGACGTGGAGAAGAGAAGAATCTTAGCCCCACCGGGACTCGAACTCCGACCCCTCAGCCGTCTATCCAGTAACCACTGGCTATCCCGGGACCCCATATTCGGGAGGAGCTCGGTTTCGAATCCCGGTGAGGCGACAGGGTATTCTGCCTAGGATTCTTCGTCGTTTTCCTCAGACCGGGCAAATGACTGGAGAGTACATCAATTAAACCATGATAATTTCTTCCAAATTCTAATTCATCACTCATTACCTCTTGACGCCGTATAGTCTACATAAATATCGCAGTAAAGTAAACAGATTAAGACTAATCGTAATAAATACTGTCACGTGAAGGGGGTGTGCGTGACTTATAGACGGGTTTTGGACTGGGTGATTGGATTTACTGACACCTTATACACACCTCTACGCAATACAATTAATTACAGCGCTATCGCTGATCTACACACTATACAATTCACCATTATACACACACTACAGTCATCACTTTTCATTAGTCGTATCCTAGTAACGGATTCATAACGGTCTCACTGTTATTGTAGCACACTATGAAGTCTGCTCAATTATTCTGCCAACTGCCAACTCCGGAACTCAATTCTAATTGTAGTCAGGGTCACAGTTACTTACGACTGGCGGGTTACCGCCAATCAGTTCGTCTTGGCATCAGGCCCCTTGAGAGTCACGACCAGAGATTTTTTTTTTCCAACTGAACTCTTGACGACCTTTCGTCAAGTGTATATTTCGCACATATAACATGTTATCGGAAACTCTTCCTTTTGCTTTACACACAAGTCCTCTGTCGGTACAGGCTTTACAGAGCAGATCATGCCTAACTTACAGATCTTATGCTACAATGAAAACTTAGTCCTTTGAACGGTCATAAGCTTGACCACCGGCAAGTTTAAGCCTCTTATATTTTCTGTGACTGGATTCACCTTGTCCTGTACCGCGAACATCTTCATTATCATGATTTTGTATGACTTCTGCTTGTCGTCTGCACAATTTTGTTATATAATCGTATACATACGGAACGTTGAAAGCCGTTTGCAAGTAGCGGACTGGTGTGCATTTAGGTGCGTGAGATCCTCGTTATATAGCCTCGGAGCGGACCCCACAGAAAACTCTGCTTCCTCTATTGTTGCGTTTTGATTCACTGCTGCCGCGATGTGTTTATTGCACTGTTGCGCAACAACGAGTGCAGCGCGGATAAAAAAAACAACGCTCTTCTATTGTACGCGTTCACTTCCGCGGGAATATGTTTACCGAGCCTTTGCCTAGCAATCAACTATTCTGGCTTTCGGGAATGATGTCACAATATTATCTGCCAATATCAGCTTTTCAAGGTCTCTCCCCGCCACCAAGCGCATGGACAGTTCTGTGTTCTCAATGCTATACAAATTGTTATTCAGATGTTTTCTGCACATACACGTANGGGCCTTCCTGGAGATTTGAAGCATTGGAACCTGCACGTCCTAGAATAAAGTCAGCTGAAATTCAACCACATTCCAAAGTGAAGAACGGATAGCTTCGCTTGCCATAAATAAATAAATATATAAATAAAAATTATTACAAGATTTCATCTTCTTATATGTGGTTCTGTGTAGTCTAGTGGAGGCAGCATGTTCCTCTGAAACGTCGGATTTACGAAAACAGTTGGTGCCACACCTAAGAAGACATTAATCGTCATAGTCGGCCACGCCATAGCTCAAGCGGCTAGTCGCTGGCTTCCCACCGCGGCGGCCCGGGTTCGATCCCGGGGTCTGGTCAAGTGGAATTTGTGGTGGACAAAGTGGCGCTGAGGAAGGTTTCCTCCGAGTATTTCGGTTTCCCCTGCCAATCTTCATTCCACCAATTGCTCCACAACCACCCTCACCTATCATCTGGGGCGGGTACAATAGGCCAAAGTGGCCGCAGTGGAAGGGATTAGTCCCACCCCACTAGCAATAATAATAATAAAAAAATATTCAGAGTCACTGAACTGAGAACTTCATAACTCGCAAATACTGTAATTTCAGCATCGAATGTCAGTGAAAGCCTGGAACGAACTGCCCCTGCGCAATGACTGGTCTCGTTTCAGAAATAATTCCGAAGTGGAGAGGACCAGATGGCAGAATACATTATATATGTGGCATATTTGCTCAAACCAAGAACGGTGGAGCCAGGGAAACAGCCGTTGCTAGAGAACGGCTCTGAAACAACATTCGCTTCTAGGTAACGGCCGGGAAACAGAAAACGGAACTGCGTTGCTAAGCAGGGGATTCTTAATAAGCATGAACGGACGGCAGGTACTAGGAAACGGATCCTTAAATATGTTCCTGAGGCAATGGATATGCATACGAGGATGAACGGTGTTGTCTGCGATGACCGTGCCGAGGAGTTATAGGGAATAAAACTGGAGCAACCGAGAGAGTTCTGTATGGGAGTCTGTGAAGAAAGGACTTGAGTGCGTAAGGCTGAAGAATCTCCAATGTTAGAAGCCGTTGCCAGGGAACGGCTGGCGAATTGTGGAGACTAGCGGTGGCGCTGTAAGTGCTTGTAGTTCCGAGTCGTGTCTGTAAGTGGACAATAAATTCATTCACCAGTTACACCCCCATCTAGAATCACTGCATACGAGTATATGTGTCAGTACTCTGTCGAAATAATTAAATAAGTTGCTTAAGTGGACATGGGCCCGGACAGGGTATTTTCAAAGGGAGGAAGCCTGATAATGTTAGAAACTTATTTAAAGCTGTTTATGAATATTTTTACGAATCCTCCTAAGAGTTTCGCCGATCTCCATATAATACAATACCGTATTAGCTTGAACGTTAAGCGACGTTTATTTCAAAATCCTGCTTCTCAGAAAAGGTGTGGGGGTTCCTTTAATTTCGGGTCGTTACGAATAAATTAGTATAAGATGACCAGGGAGTTCTAGTAGCTAATTCTAATATTTTTTTTGAATTGATAGAATTATATTTTAGGTATTAGATTTCGAATTTATTTATCCATTCATTACAATTATCCTTTTTACTTCTTCCTTCTTCCAACCCTCTTAACTAACTGACATATTTAATTTCGTAAAAAATTAATTTTTCTCACTGAAAGAATATGGAATCGCCTTACATTTCGGATTATATGGTTATGAATTAGCTTAAGAATAATTTTAACTTCTGTCTCCAGTGTGGAGGCTGGTTACAATACCTCCACCGTAGCCCTGCGAGTCGTAGAAGGCGACGAAAAGGGAACCCGGTGCTTGGGAGTAAAACTGGGCCATCTTGTCACTGGAGGGAATAAAAACAGGGACCTGGTCTTCCAGTTTTGGGGTTAGAATTATGGCTGACAACCTTGCTCTGTAAAAAAAAATATTCCTACGAAATCCAAAGACGTGAAAACCGAATGAGAAATCCGGCAGATCTTGTAAAGAAGGCTGTGTCTCAAGAAGGGCTGTTTCTCCAATGATGATGATAATGAATGGCACCAGCTGACTTTTTTTTTATTTTGATCACCCCCCCACCTGCCGGCGCCCAAATCCGCGGGAACGGGCTGGATTCTGATTTACCTGGCGTCCAGGAACCTCGAGCGCAGGATCATGACGGCCTCACACGTGCTCTGCTTCAGCTGCATCTGGATGGACGAGAACTTCTTGTGGATAATCTGCACCATGCGCTCTATCTCCTTGGGGGTGATGGGGCGCGTCCGAGACTGCTCCCGCAGCAGGTTCATCACGTGCGTCGTGAACTCGTTACACGCCTGCAACAAAACAACAGCTTCGTACAGAACCCACAACGTACATAAACTGCTCACAGATGAGAGCCAGGGACAGGAGGAAACAAAGACGAAAAGAAGAGTTGAAAATAGGTGAATTTAGAAAGAAGAGTATACAAAGCGAAAAGATAGGGCGTAAGAAGGGAGAAAAAAAGAAAAACTAGGAAGAAAGAACATAATAAACGAGTAAGAAAAGTAGAAGACAAACGGAAAGTATTTTTCAATCTGGTCTTTGGGTGTGCGTGAACAAAGATTGGCAAACAGTAGCGGGGCAGTGGTTGCAGTGCATTGTTGGAGGGAGGGACGGTGGCGCACCAAATGCACTGAGAATTCTGCTGAGAACGGCTAGGACTAAGAGCACGGACACTAAGAAAACATCGGGAAAAGGAAAACCATAAATAAGAAACGATATAAAAGAAGCTATGAATGAGAGAAAAGAAATTAAGATGAAAAAGAAAGTAAAGGAAATGGCAAAAAAGGACTGAAGGAAAGTGATCAATAAGAAGTAAAAGTAAAGCTGTTCCTGTACTACACGACACCATGAAGACGTATGGAGGAGTGTGAGTATAGCACCATGCATTCTTCTTGACCACGGCACTAGCTGGAGGTGAGTGGTCAGTTTCCCATCCTGCCCCATTATCCTGAGAAATGAACCCCTGTGCGCATTGGATAGGAGGCTGGGTTCACCCCACAGCTGGTCTGGACGCTACAAAATCTTTGCTTCTGGAGGTGATGGAACTCCCAAGTCAGTCTTCAAACCCGTGACCTGACTACTATACCCAATGAACTATTTTTTTAATGCTAGTGGGGTGGGACTAAGTCCCTTGTACTGCGGCCACTTCTGGCCTATCGTACCAGCCACAGATGATAGGTGAGGGTGATTGAGGAGCAATTGGTGGAACGAAGATTGGCAGGGGAAGCCGAAGTACTTGGAGAAAACCTGCCCTAGCGTTACTATGTCCACCACAAATCCCACTTGACCAGACCTGGGATCGAACGCGGACGCCGCGGTGGGAAGCCAGCGACTAACCGCTTGAGCTATGGCGCGGCCCAACCAATGAACCAACTCGACTTCGAAGGTACGAACAAATAAACACAACGCGGGAAATGATAAAACGAAGGGGAAGAGAAAAGTAAACAAACAAAAGTATGAATGAATGATTCGCGCTCTGAAGTTTCAATGGACTTTTGCAGTTTACAGCCTTTAACATAATGTAACTTCGGTTTAATTTGAGGGAAAACAATTCTCCGGAAGTTCGATGAAAAACAAACTTCTGCTATTGAAAACCCTTCAGTTATATTTAAACGTACAACAGAACTCAACGCCGGCCGTTGTCTGAGAGCGGACCAACATTCAGCGGATGTTCGACTCAGATTATCGCGCCGAAACAATTAACCCTCTTCTCGCGAATGTCAATGCCATTTCTAGACCAGGGGCGTGCAACTTACTTACCCCTTAATACAACTTTACTCTCTGTACATTAAACTGCTTTCTAAGGGTCAGATTTATCTGTCATTACCTAATTCGGCTTACCATAGCAACGAACTGTTTAGCCTTAACACGTTGCATGATCGTAAAGTATGTACCGGGTCTTTTGTTTCAGTGTATCGCGTCTATTCTCTGAGTGATGGTATTCTATGTAAAAAAAATGTAAAGCTATCCCTGTAACAGGCAGTGGAGGCACATAGGGTTGTGAGACGTCGAGGCTCCCACATTTTCTCTAGAATATCGGTTCACAGATGGCGATGAGGTTCTCAGCCTTACGCGCTGGTCGTCCTTTACCCTCAGGAAGATTCCTGGTACTCATTTCTGTTAGAGGCTGAGTAGACCCAAAGGCCATAATGCTGCTGTAAGTATTAGATCAATTAAAGAATCCAATGACTTCATCGGGAATCGAACCAGCGACCTTCCGGCTTGTAGCCTCAACCAACTACGTTACCGCGTGCTCCATATTTCTATGTGGATTAAGACAGAGCAAGATGGAGAGAATGAGTTCCTGCATTAGTAATTATCTACCAGACTGCAAGGCGCCGCATCCCACAGGACAGCAATCTTCATTGTCACCGCAGAACGCCAAAACTGTGCTGAGGATTTTGGAGGTGTCCTGCTAGACACTTGTTTCTGCTGTGCAAGAAAGCCGACGGGCTGGTGGCGACCCACCCCAACTGACAGTGGTATAAAGAACAAGTTGCGGCGACGACGGTGATAAATCTGTGTCCGACGCTGCCGTTGACCGGTTGNTGACCGGTTCCAGCCCCCCCCCCCCGCCCTCGGGCCAACCAGCCAACCATACTGTACTGTCAGCAAGACCTGACTGGTCATTTCATGGGGCTTCATCCTGGAATGGACACTCCACTCCACCATAAGAAGGAATGTTCCTGCATTACGTACACCTCTGCAGCAGTGGCGTTTGTTGGGGCAGTTACCACAGGCCGCCGTCTCCTGGCGAAGTGCAGTCTGGTCCATCGTCAGGGTAGAGGAGATACCGTCTTCAGAAACACGGGGAAAATTCCGAATTTCTGGTCCGAACGTCTTCGTTTCGAGTCTTGAACTTCGGTCTCGGTTATAAGTCAGGGTTCGCTACAGGGGCACGGTCTAGATGTCTGTCTGTCGGAAGAAAGAATTGCAATGGAGGAAATAAGAAAAACATGGAGTAAAAGAAAAAATAAACGAAATAAGAAAGGGCAGAACGGAAAAAAGGACAAAAACAGCGAATGGAGAAACGAAAAGTAAGTACATAAATTACCATATTCTATTCAGACCCAGACGGGATAGCGCTGTAGGTATAGCGACTGGCTACGGGGTGGCTGACCAAGGGGGCGGGGTTCAAGTCCCGGTGGGGGAAAGAGTTTTAACTTATCCATGCCGTCGAGACCGGCTCTGGGGCCCACTCAGCATCTATCCAATAGGTACCGGGACCTCTTTCCCCGGAGGGTAAATCGGCCGGGGCGTAAAGGTGACACTCATCTTCAAATAGTGCCGGGGTCAAAATAAGTGGATCTATACATCCACTTCCCCATACGCCTTCATGGCATAGTGCTTAATTAGTTAAGCACAGGGATAACTTAACCTTTCCTATTCAGACCCACGGCATTACGAAGACGTCAATATTTAGAACAGGAAGACTTCGTTTTTCAGCCTCTTTATCCTCCTTCCTTCCTCCTTTATCTCATCTTCCTACGTCTCGTTTTCTTCCTGTTCACACGCCCATCTTGTCCTCCATCTCATCTTCATATTGCCCTCCTTCTTCTTAATTCATCTTCGTCGCTTACCCACTCTCTTCGTCTTGGCCTTCACATCTCCCGCTTTCATATCCCTTCTTCCATCTTTCTCTAATTCTCCTTCATTTCCTCCCGCTTATTCTTTTGTTTCTAATTTTCTTCCCAAGCCATACTTCAATTAACGAAGCTAGGAGACAAATGCACCTTTACCATTATCTCCGGTACTTCCTTCCTCCTCTCTCTGCCTTCACACTCTTCCGAAACATTACCCGCGATAAACGTTAAGGCCTGGAAGCGACATAAATGCGGAAATAATGTAATGAAAACGAAATAAACGGAACGAAAAATAATAATGAATGTTATAAGTTGTCCCCGTGCTTAACTCATTCAAGTACCGACTATATACCGACTATACCGACCGAGCCGCCGCCGCTTCTCGGCGAAGTAAGCGCCAACTTTAGCGGATAGAGGGTGTCGCGTGGTCAGCGCAACGAATCCCCACGGCCGTTAATCTCGGTTTTCTAGACCGGAGCCTCTATTTCCTTGAAATAGCTCCTCAATTATCCTCATGAGGCTGAGTGGACCCCGTTCCAGACCCACTACTTCTCAGAAAATCTGGTAGCGCCGGGAATCGAACCCGGGACCTTTGTATATGTAGACAGAACTCTGACTAGACCACAGAGGCGGTCGGAAGTGCATGCAATGATAACGGAACAGTGAACACAAGCGTGAGAGGACAGTACGCTTCGAGCTCGTTACATTGTAAAAACAAGAGAACAGCGGGATAAAGGGAGGCGGGACAATTAAAACGCTTTAAGAAAACTGGCCCCGCAAATAAAATGGGTCAGTCACCCCACATTGCGGGACAGGAAACAATAGGACCATTGCGGGGGGGGGGGTCGTTTTCAGACGTCTGGAATCCTAAGTTATAACATTACTGCGTCCAGACGAGGGGAATTTCAAAATGTGTTCAAACTTGGCCTGTTTCTGCCAGGCTTAGGAAGATGGAGTCACTTGCACGAATAACTCAGACTGACACGGGGTCTCTGCACCTGCTGACAGTTGCCAGCTCTTCCGAATATGCCGATGCACATTTGACCAATATCAAGTACAACTTGGCTTACTGTCATTACCATGGTTACCGGATTTCAGAAATGGCGCCACTGTCAAGTGCAGCTCACAAATTTGCGAGTCCGTTATGTTGTTATTCCCGACTTTAAGACATGAAAATGTGCAAGTCTGTAAGGGTCTAAAGAAATTCAGTCAACCATTGAACAGTGGAGATATTTCTTAGCCTTTACTAAAGGCCGCGCCATAGCTCAAGCGGTTATTCGCTGGCTTCCCACCGCGGCGGCCCGGGTTCGATCCCGGGTCTGGTCAAGTGGGATTTGTGGTGGACAAAGTGGCGCTGGGACAGGTTTTCTCCGAGTACTTCAGTTTGCCCTGCCAATCTTCATTCCACCAATTGCTCCACAATCACCCTCACCTATCACCTGGGGCTGGTACAATAGGCCAGAAGTGGCCGCAGTACAAGGGACTTAGTCTCACCCCACTAGCCACAAAAGAAATATCCTTTAATAATGTAACAGCCGTTGAGACTCGTATCGGAATCCTGACCATTTGTTACATTAGCTTTCGTACGGTTAACTTCTTCTGCTTTATGCCGCATTTCTTGTCCACACCTGCAAGTTATAGAACGGTAGGTAGAGGCGGACGCTTAACGTCATCTCCCTCGAATAACACGCACAAATAACCAATTTGTA